CTCCAGTCTGGACGACAGAGTGAGACTCCAACTCAAAAAAAAAAAAAAATCACTTTAGGCTAAGCTAAAGAGAAAAATGTGTACCGAATGAGATACCATTTTACATTTCACAAGATGTCACTCTAATACTCTTTAAAAGAAGCATTCAATTTCTCCAAAAAGCTGCCATCATCAGTAATGAAAACCAGGATCTCAACTTACCAGCTTATTAACACGAAGCTTTGAGGAGTTAAACTTGAAGACATCAATTTTCTTATCCAGTGGTTTAATAGTAAACTAGAAGAAGGAAGCAGAATACAGTTTCAGTCTGATAGCATGGAATGTTACCACCAACTGGGAAATTCCACAAAAACAGAAACCAGAGTGGCCAGGATACAGCATGAGGCTATGCCTTGTCCTGGCTTTCTGCTGCCCAGGCACTAAACCCTGGTGAATCAGGAATATCGAGGGCGCCAAGTTTGGGGCTGTGGAAGCTCAGGATCCTAAAGGTGCACTAGAGAGCACCCGTCTTAGGCATGAATGTGAGGAAGGAATCCTTGATATCCTAAAATAAGCATTCTTAATGGGCCCACCCTCGAGGTCAACACTGGAGGGTTACTGCAGTCTAGAGCACGGCCCTGCCTTCATGAAGTTCACAGTCTAGTTGGAACTAAACTAACAACAGGCACTTGTTCAAGAAATTATATAATATACTAGTGCTTCATTGGGTGGTACAAAAATCACAAATGTCAAGGAGTTCCGAGTAGATCCACCATAAGCAACAGGGAACCAAAGTTGGTCTTAGAAGAACATAGCAGAGCAGTCAAAAGGTAGGATGGAGGGGTACTCTGCACAGGACAGCAGTAGAAATAAGGTAGAGATGGGGAAATGAGTGCTGTGTGTGTTTGACATTATTAGCTTTTGGTGACTAAAATGATAAAATGCACTTAGCTTGAGAGGGAAGGAGAAGGCTGGTAGTGAGGAATAAAATATAGTCAGCGGATTTTAGATTCACGTAACAGGATACAGGGAGTCAATCACTACAGGTTTCCAAACATGGCAGAAATTTGGTAAAAGCTGTTAATAGACAGAATAAAATGTGAAGAAAAATAGACTCTAGGAGAAGAGAAACCAGAGACACAAATGAATGACAAGGACAGGGTGGTGGACAAGGGACAGGTAATAGAAGAATCCAGGCCAGACCCCTGGCATATAAGGAACAAAGGACTGCTGCTCTCAAACACTTCTGATGAGACCAGACAGGGCCTAGATTTCCAAGATGTACTTACAAAATGGACACCTAATCCTGAAAGACTTACTAAACAGATAAATATGTTTGGGAAGACATATTTGTTTCACATGTTATACTGTCCAACAAAGGGTTAAAACACTGAGACCAGAAAAATGGTCCTTTGTTTTGCTTTGAGCCCAGTTAACTTAGAAACAGTACTGCTCTTGTGTAGGCTGCTACTCATGAATTTTGTGAGCTTATTTTTGGCCTTACTGTCAAACCCCAGAGCTGTCAGTGGGAAACCACAAGTAGTGGGGAAACCACAGGCTCTGTGCCATGACAAGGCATACACAAAGAATCAATGGGTCACTTAAAATAAACTACCGTTTGTTTTGACAGCATGGCTGTCATGCATAACGACCAAGACTACTTCCTATTATGTCAAGTCAGTTTGGGGTCCTCTTACTGTATGAATTACTGACATGATGGAACATGATGGCACCTTGCCCCTGGAGAGGATATATTGGAGTTGATTGTGTCAGGCCACACTAGGGGAGACTTTAATCCTTGAGTTCTTTGGAGAACGAGTGTTTGGTGAGCCTTTAGTGCACAAATGTGTGAATGTGCAATAAACAGACTTTATGAAATTGGGAGGTAAAAAACTACCATACAGTGGCACACCTACTGCTGTAAGTCATGTGAAGCTTTCCATTTCAGTACTTTAAAATACAAATACCTAAAATGTTCATCTCCTGGGCTAACTACTTACAAAAACGTCAAAGTCAGAATCTGTCTCCTCAAGTATGGCTGAGTTGATCCCAACCATGTACTAGAAACCATGGGCTTGACATTCCTTTCCTCAAGTGGCCACAAAGAAAGAGAAAACAGGAAATGTGCTCAGAGGTCAGGACTCTGCAGGCAGCAACATAAGCCAACACTATTATTCACTCCCCACTGTTTCCCAGCTGTGTGGGCACCAGTAGGTCATTGAGTGGAGTTTCCTTCTGCCCAGTGCTCCTGTACTCTCAGGACTAGCCTCTGGGCCTCCTAAAAAGCAGGGGTGTGATATCAGTGACAGAGGCTCCCAGCCCCTGCTGCTCCACTTGCCAGACACAGGTCACTTGATCCCTCTGTGTTCCTGTCTCCTGATGTGACACAAAGATAATGACAACATGGCCCTTGCCTTTATAGCAGTGTTCTTATGAGGATTAAATCAGAGGGTCAGGGTGAAAGTGCTTATAAATGGAAGACTATATTATCATCAACATCATCACTGCATTTATTTATTATCGCAGTTGAGTCTTTGACTATAGCTTCCTTGAAAGCTGTGACTGGATTTTGTACATCTTTGTTTCCTCTATAAAACCTAACACAAAGTAGATGTTCAATAATTCCTTTAAAATTAATACAGAATGAACAAATAGATGAATGAATGAACAAACATAAGATTATAGCATTTGGGGAAAGTCCCATCCTGTACAACAATATTTGAATTCTAAGAGTGTACAACTAAGTTATTCAAACTTAATTATCCTCGCATTTTTTTTTTTTGAGTCGGGTCTCCTCTGTTGCCCAGGCTGAAGTGTGGTGGCACAATCACGGCTACTGTAATCTCAACTTGCTGGACTCAGGCAATAATTCTACCTCAGTTGCCTGAATAGCTGGGACTGCAGGGGCACGCCACCATGCCCAGCTAATTCTTAAAATTTTATTGTAGAGATAAGGTCTAGTCATGTTGCCTAGCTGGTCTCAGGCTCCTGAGCTCAGGCAATATCCTTAGATTCTTATAAGTGTATTAATCTAATATCCTTATTTATATCACTGCTGAAAGATACACACACACAAAACACACATATGTATGTGTGTGTGTATCTTCACCACATGTATTAAGCAGTGGACATAAAAAGAAGGCTCAAAATAGACCACACTTAAAATACAAAGAGACAGCTGGGTTCAGTGGCTCAGCCTGTAATCTCGCGCCTTGGGAGGGTGAGGTGAGAGGACTGCCTGAGCCCGTGGGTTCGAGACCCGCCTGGGCAACTTGGTGAGACCTCATCGCTACAA